GCAGTTGGAGAGCACTTCTCAGCTGGGAAATCTGCCGAACGGGAGCTGTCAGACGACTGAAGCGAGGGAGTGTCACCCCAGCACGTGGGCCACGGGATGGGGCGCTGAAAACCATGCATGATCTGTCAGGTATCGCTATTGACGACGCCTAATACGTACCGACGATAACCAGATGATGTAAAGTGTTGTATCTGTCTACTGTTCCATTAAATTTAACGGCGCACTAGCGTCTTCGATAGAAGCGATGTCCTTGACGAATGTGGGTCAGGAAAGGCTGGCCGCGTCAAAGGGCAAGGACGAACAACTCTTTTATGGCAAGGCCTTTTGATTATCATACACGTCAGCTCAGCACAGACACACTGAGTAATGATCAGTTAAAGGGAGATGAACTGTCTGACACCATGTGAATCGGCGTGAGCCAAAGTTCGACCGCTCACGTTTGTCCGCGATCTATTTCTTTTCTCGCGCACAATTTTAACTTTATCTCGGCGCCTACGCTACCTTCCGAAAAGTGCGAGGAAGAAAAAAACTTATCAATATGTATTCAGATTTCGCTGGAGTTGGAGCATTTGACAACCTGGATAAATGCGTCGATAGAGGTTGATCCGCGGGGCGGATTGGACGGGACCAAAACATTCAAGCAATGCACGGAATAGAACCATTTTAGAACTTAGAAGGTATTTTAGAACTTACCAGGTCACACGGATTGAACAGGTATAAATGCTTACAATTTCAAAAGATGCTAGCTGAATTTTACAATTTGTAAGTCCCTCTGCAGTTATTGTAAGAAGGGAACTTCGGCACAAAAAAACACCGGCCTCAATTATTTTACATACGAAAGTTCGCTCGCATTTTGATGTTAAGTTCCCAGTGTGTGATCCGATGGCCCTCTGATTCGTGATAATTGGGTCGCATTGCATTATTCATTTTCTTGATGAACATTCACCTGGTGTTTAAAAAGTGGGCTTTCGAGGCATGCCCTATTTTAATATTTGCGTTAGAGCATGTCTTATCAGAGATAGCGGACCTTGTTTGTGTGCTTTTAGCATGATGTTTGCGTTAAGACCGAGGTTGAAACTGAAACATTGAAAATGATGTTTCCATGCTATTCAGCAACTTTAAATGGGTAGCATGGGAGGCATTAAGAAAGAGATTAAACCAAAGAGGGCTATCCCTACCTGAGACCTAAAGGGAAGCCAAGCTTTCGAAAAACTGGTGAGTGCCAAAGACCTTGCCGAATACATACGCTGCACCTAGGAGGTGTATGAATGCTATATAGTGACTCATTTTCCGAGGGAGCGTCCAATTTCTATGCTTTATATTGTCCCGTTATTGTTCATGAACATACCTCTATTCAGATGCACGTCTGATGCGTATGCTGTCATCTAGCTGCTGGTCGCCAGTTTAGAATCTTATGCTTGATATTCTGTCACAATCTTCACACACACACACACACACACACACACACACACACACACACACACACACACACACACACACACACACACACACACACACACACCCACACACACACACACACACACACACACACACACACACACCACACACACACACCACACACACACACACACACACACCACCACACACACCACACCACACCACACACACACACACACACACACACACACACACACACCACACACACACACACACACACACACACACACACACACACACACACACCACACACACACACACACACACACCACACACACACACACACACACACACACACACACACACACACACACACCACACACACACACACACACACACACCACACACACACACACACACACACACACACACACACACACACACACACACACCACACACACACACACACACACACACACACACACACACACACACCACACACACACACACACACACCACACACACACACACACACACACACACACACACACACACACACACACCACACACACACACACACACACACACACACACACACACACAACACACCACACCCACCAACCACACACACACACACACACACACACACCACACACACACACCACAACACCACCACACCACACCACGCACGCACGCACGCACGCACGCACGCGCGCAGCGAGTATATAATATATATATATATATATATATATATATATTATATATATATATATATATATATATATATATATATATACATATATCATAATGTTATATATGCATATATATACATATGTATTTATTTATTTATTTATATATAAACAGATTTTTCCCTGCCGTAAGGGATGAGTGTATGGAATGGCACAACTGAGGAAAACAATAGCCTGATACATTCGCAAGTTTGAGGTCTAGTGCTGCGTGTTTATTTTGGGAGGGAGGGTTCTTTGGTATCTAGTATCTAGAGGTATCTAATTCTTTGCACTACTTCATCTAATCCAAACAAAACTTTTTATTTTCCTGAGCCTTGGCCACGCCAGACCGGACCGGATCACATCGAAAAGCTTGAAAAATTGGATTGACAGGCAGCTTGGATTCCAGACAGCTGAACCGGACTGGGCCCTATATTGCAAAGCACGACTAGGCGAAGAGTCCGCCGACACCACCAACGGATGTTGAGGGCGTTATTCGTCACATAAACATCCCGCCGTCACGACCGTCACCAGACCGTTACCCCGCCATTTAACCCCACCAGAGACCGCGCCAAGTCCATCGTCCTCCGGCACACATCGGCACGGTCCCAGCCCCGTGACGTCAGCGGCCGGTCGTGACGTCAGGGCGGCGCGGCGCCGTGCCGGGCGTGGGTCCGGTCCCGTCGCGGCGGCGCCCGTGGGCGGGGTGCCGTTGGTCGTGTCGTGTTTGTTCGCTGGACGGAACGTGACGGCGGCGGGCGGCGACCTACGGACGCCGGCGCAGGTGAAGCCGAGCGCCACGAGACATGCCCGCTCTGACCGGCTCGTTCAGACGAGCGACGGCCGTGACACTGACATTAGGACGCATGTGTCAAGTTGTGACCTTCACCATGAGGGGGCTTCAACGGAAATGGCCATGGAAACCTCTTCAGCCCTAAGGCCTAGAATTCGCAGCTCTGCAAGGGTAACTGCAAGTCTCAAGGAGGCGTCGATGAGTTTTTGGCTCTTGTGGTCAATCGTAACACCTCAGCCAGATTTTCGCGCAGTCAAAAAATTTGCTTCAGGTTCACGTGGGGTCCGATTCAGCTCCATGATCAGATTTGGGGATTCATTGGACCGATTCGGACTGGCAGGGTTTGAAACCAAAGCTTGTTGTCTGAAATAGCTTTTGTTGAGACACAATTTTTTAATAACGTCAGTCATGTACACAGCAGGGCAAAAAGTCGCAGCTGTCCTTCTAGCTTCCTCTAAATAAGTGCTCAAAGTCCTACGTTCCTCTATGTCTTGGCACTAAAACTGCGGTGCACACAAAGACGATCATGCGAGATATTTCGAAAAGGTGGCATATTTCAAAATCGATTTTAAAAAGGGGGACGTAAAGCCATGAGGTATGGGGCAAAGCACTGCAATGCAATCAACATCGTGTGGCCGTCTACGTAATTTTGTGATCCTTGTACACCCTCTGGGAATACCTCAGATCAGTGGCGGATGTAGTCCTGCGCGGCTGGTGAGGAAAACGCAAGTTTGGTAGGGTACAAATTATAACTCAAGTACTTTATATTTCTGCGCCTGCCAATGCCACAGTGACCTCATAAACCTGCCTGCGTCACACCTGGACTTCACTAGGGGGCCAGCCATTTCATGACTGCTAGAGAGCCCATTCGAAATATCAATGAACTTCACTCATTGCATCTATTTTATCTTTCTCTGGATCCATCGCTGTCACCTGTGACAGTCTGCAATAAAATAGCATTTGGTATGAAATATATGACTGGGAATAAAAAACAACTATCATGCAAATAAACACGCACAGATTTCGTCTGAGGAACTGGCGTCGATTCATCACGACACTATGTACCACACATATCCTTCATGCTGTACTTCATGACGCGATGTGTTATAAGGATCAAGCATTGGTTTTCGGAAGAAAGAAGTAATCCGCCGTTGCATGACTGACGAAATTTATAGGTGTGCTAGCAGGCCTGCCACAAATCACGTGTCTGAAACCGTCCCCGTTTACTGTGGGGTGCCAAAACTCGGCCAGCTTATTCAAATGATAGGAAAACTATTGTATTTCAGCTCTCTTGCTGGAGCCGTTTGTTGCACAAGAAGCGAGGTTGCCCAGCAAGCTGAGTTAGAGACGATGTATCAAGCTGAGGCTATCTAGAGGGCTGCGGGTGGCCGAGGCAGCTGTCGTCGGGCCGTTTGCAAAGCCGAGTCCGCCCAGCACTATGCCCAATCTGATAGACGGTCCGTATCCAGTGTCCGCCCCGAGTTCAGGTGTCACCCGCCTGGACCAATCTCCGGCCGTAAATTGACATAATCTGCGCGATCGCCGCCGGTCAGAGTCAGTCACCGGGCGGCGTGGGCACCCATCACTGCTCGGGGGCCCATCCGTCTGTCTGCGGAGCTGCCACTGTGCGCCACGCTGCGCCGGCGAGAATTCCATCAGCCAATACGGCCGCGCTTATTAATACCACCGGGGCTTTAGTGGCGTGATAAGCAGCGCTCGCACGCAAACATCGGCGGGTGAGTACAGCGGCCGCAGATACAGCGTGTCAATAGCGCCGATCAATAGCCGACGTGACCCAAAACGGGCGGGACCTCCGCAGGTAATTGGCACGTCGCAATGGCGCTTTGACTGACTCTGGCCGAATGTAGGGCGCAGCGAATGGCCACGCCTCAGCTCCAGCTGTCAGGCGGGCGGCGTGGAACGTACGCACGCGGGCTGCAATCCAGCGGATTTCGTGCTGCAAGTCCAGTAGAGGAGACACGAGCGCCATACTTTACCCTCGCCCCGAGATAGCCGTGCGGGCCCCTGCGCCGTCGACGGCGTCGCACCCCGGCGGTACCGCCAGTACCACGCAACCGTACCTCCATGGCGCATGTCCAGCCGCGAGCCCTGCCGGGAGATCGGCAGGGGCGGCTTGGCCGCCGAGAACGGTAGTCCGGCTGGCATCCCCGGCCGCGGAGCTCCTCACGACACCGACGGCCTGCCGCTCGAGCCGCGCCGCGGCCGGCGCCCCCGCCTTAGTGTCCGTGCGGCACCGTTCGGGGCGCGGCGGGTATCTTCAGAGGCGAGGCGTCTCCACACAGTGCACGCGGCTCGCGGTCGCTCGGCGTCCGTTGGGTCCACTGTCGCTGGCCGGCCCCCGGCGCCGACCGGTCGGTGGGGAGCTCAACGCGCGCGCTAGCACCGGGCGGGCGGACGGACGGAGCGACGCGGCCGCTCCACTCATCCGACCGACCATGAGTGAGCAGGCGGCGCCGGCCGGCGTCCCGGCGGCGGCGCGCACCCGGCTGCCGCCCCCAGCCGCTCGCGGCGAACGGTGAGAGCGGCCGCTCACGGCCGGCGCTGGGCTCACCCGCCTGACCGCGTCCGCTCCTCGTACGCCCTTCTCCCCCACCCACACATTCATTCACTAGCTCACGTCCATTCAATTTTCGCCATCTCCGGCCAACTCACGTTCTTCCTAGTCATTCAGTCACACTCACTCAGCCTTACGAAATCCCAGTATATGTAAACTCAATAATGAGAAGCATAGTTTACCAGCGATTGCCTACACAGGACGATATCAAGTTGTACGGACGGGCAATCTCCTCCGTGAGATAGGGCCTCACCGCGCGTGTCTCTTACTAGCGCCCATTACAGCAGTGCGAGAGGGGTGTATTCAGCTCGCCAACTGCTCTAGCACTACGAATGCAGGTCAATGTGGGTGGTAGTTCCGTAGTTATGATGCCAAGAGCGCTCCGATGCCTAAATTTTGGGCAGTGCATGCTTTGAGCGTCATGAAGAGATGTTGACCTCAAATCTTGTGCGCTCCATATACTGGTCAATCGTTTTCACAGAAGATCACGTCTGCAGTGATAGGACATTAAAATGAGTGAAGTTGTTTGCTTGTAGTGGCATTACACTTTTGTAAAGCTTCTATTGTTGAGTTACCGCTACTTGCACTTCATTCATGGCTACATCCTCAAGGTCGGGGACTCGACATGGTTACATCCTCAAGGTCGGGGACTCGACATGGCTACATTCTCAAGGTCAGGGACTCGACATGGCTACATCCTCAAGGTCGGGGGACTCGACATCGCGGCCACATCCTCAAGGTCGGGGACTCGACATCATGGCTTCATCCTCAAGGTCGGGGACTCGACATCATGGCTACATCCTCAAGGTCGGGGACCCGACATGCTTTGCTTTGCCTAAAGAAAGGCGCCATTTTTTGTCTTGCCTAAAGAAAAGTATAGAGCAGCAACGTATAAACTATCCAGAAACCATGCGGGGTGACTTTCTGCCTGCTTGCGGACAGCGTCCAAAAGGCGTCACGTTGGCGTGACGCGTCACGTTAATATGGACGCGTGTACCCGGCTCAGCGTGACGGGTGTGCACACAGCCAGCGGCCTCCCGCCGGCTGCCTCCGCCTCCGCCTGCTCAAACCCAGCGGCGACCAAGTGCGAACTGCTGCACCAGTCGGGCGGCGCCCGTGACCACACTCTCCTGACCAGGCGCCGGGCCGCAGCCGCCTGCCCGCCTCGCGCGTGCCGTCCTCGCCTCCAAAACGGGCACAGCAAGTTCCTTATCGCGATGGTCTGTGCAGCGCGATTGGTTCGCACCGCGTCGAGTGCGGGCAATACCGGAGCATTTGCCGGGTTTTGGAAGATGTCTGGTGATTAGTCTGAGCCGGGCCGTGCGGCCGATGAGGCATGCAGCACCCACGGGCAGGTGTGTCCGCTTACCAACTCATACGAGATGCACAAACCGCAAGTGTAGAGGAAACCGGACATTGCCAAGGGCAGACTCAGCGGCGAAATACTGATGACTGCATCTCTTTCACCACGGAAATGACTTGATGTGCCCGTGCCTTCTTCTCGCTTAACACTTTACCTGCTGTGGCAGTGCCAGAAAACTGACATTGCCAAGGGGGATAGCAGGACCATGCTCTCCTACCAAGATTGCAGAAATAATGACAGTTCAATATTCCGCCACAAGACTTGCATTTTGTGTATCGTAAGGCAGCATTCATGCGAACGCATACTCCGTTGCCGTGGCAATATAAGGAAGATGCAACAGCAGCACTGCAGGAACACTAATGCCAGGCCATGGCTTTTGGTTATAGCATGATCCACTACCCCAGGCATCACTAACAGGCTCATGCACCCCCCAGTAAAGTGGATGACGCAGCACGATACACAACGCAAGCTGTCACAATTAACACGCGCTCGGATGGGGGTCAAATTGACCCCATCCAACCGAAGTTTTTTCCAGAGCAGTTTCTGAACGACGCGGCGTAGCCGCACCGAATTTTGCGCAGCTGCAGAAAGTTGACCAACAAATCGTTTGGTATCAAATATTTGGATGTACCTTGTGAGGTCGCTGACCTACGACGGGTTAAAGTCAGGCAATGGATTCCGTAACGGCAATGTCTAGGGAATCGTACAATCTGATGCAACGGCGGAGCGGTAGCCGTAGACATACATTTGAGACACTTTCTTAGGCAGCAAAACAATTGGATGGACAAATTGCACTGACCTAAGGTCAATTTTGAAGGTCAGACCTAGGCCAGAACCAATTTGTTGTATTACTCACTGACTTGCTGTATTAGGTTGTTTCTGGTGCTTATTTTTAATTTATTGATAACAGGGAAGCGCATTATACATCTTCTATAACCCTCTATGAGGTCAGAATAAGTCACTTACCGGAAATGACCCAATTCAACATTTTATTTTTAGGAGCATACTACCTTGCGTAACCTTTGTCGCTTATTCAAATTCAGAACTCAAAGCAATCTTCTATGATTTTGATCACCATGACCTTTTGAGGATGAACCTTTTGCTTTTTTGCGTGGACTTTTTGCTTAGAACAGGCATAGGTGGATCCTGGGGGGGGGCACGGGGTCATGACCCCCCAAAACTCTGAGAGTATGTTTTGCCCTCCCCCTCAAAAAAAAACATTCCCAGAGCTTCATAAAAGTTTCGTCTACTTACCTCAAAAGATGTACCTCAAAATAATAGCCTACATAATACCAAAAACATAATAACAAAACGATACCTCAAAATGAGGGTTACGAGCTTTGCTTACATGCATTCTGTATAAAGAAGATTCAAAAGCATTTCAGTGCTTGAATGGTGTCCCTACTAGGTACTCGCGAGAGGCACCATGCACTAGGACATCGGATCCCACACTAGCCAGCTGGCGACGAGCGGTTGCCCCCCCCCCCCAAAAAAAAGTATCCAGGCTTGATCCGTCCCTGAGAACAGATATTTAGGTTGTGGGGTCACTTTGGCGAACAACATGGAAATTGACTTGTTTGACCTTACTTGGCCCAAATTTCATGACCTAAAAACTTCAAATTTTAACCTAAGTGATTTCAGCCACATGCCAACACATCCGGTGAATTTGGTGCCTCTAGCCCCATTAGTTCCTGAGATCTCAGGGGTCAAATTGACCCCCCACCCGAGGGAAGGGTATCCAACCGGCCGCCGGTCGCGTGTTAACGATCAACCGAATTTTGAGAGACAGCTTCACTCCCGCCGCCAGAGATCACGGGTCATTGCCCTCCACAGACTTTATGCGCGGTACATGCATCCGCTCGATGCGGCGCAAAGTGACCTGGCTACCGCTGGCTGAAGGCGCCGTGGATGCAACCAATCGCTGGCTGAGGGCGCCGTGGATGCAACCAATCGCTGGCTGAGGGTGCCGTGGATGCAACCAATCGCTGGCTGAGGGCGCCGTGGATGCAACCAATCGCTGGCTGAGGGCGCCGTAGATGCAACCAATCGCTGGCTGAGGGCACCGTGGACACAAGCAATCACTGGCAGAAGGTGTCGTGGATGCAGGCCATCGCTGGCTGAAGGCGCCTTGGACACAGGTAATCGCTGGCTGAAGGCGTTGTGGATGCAACCAATCACTGGCAGAAGGTGTCGTGGATGCAACCAATCGCTGGCTGAAGGCGCCGTGGATGCAACCAATCGCTGGCTGAGGGCACCGTGGACACAGGCAATCACTGGCAGAAGGTGTCGTGGATGCAGGCCATCGCTGGCTGAGGGCACCGTGGACACAGGCCATCGCTGGCTGAAGGCGCCTTGGACACAGGCAATCGCTGGCTGAAGGCGCCGTGTATACGGGCCATCGCTGGCTGAAGGCGCCGTGTATACGGGCCATCGCTGGCTGAAGGCGTCGTGGCTACAGGCGACCGCTGGCTGAGGGCGCCGTGGGTACGGGCGTGACGTCAGCCTGTCCGGAGGCCGCCTAATGTGGCTTGGTGCCCTGACAAAGCAGTCGGTGCAGGATAAGGGGCGCAGAGGAACGGCCGGACATAAATCAGATAAACGCAAATGTGGAGACAGACAGGTAACGCGCGACACGAGGGAAGCCACGTGCATATGTAGATGTGGACGGCATGTCAGTGCCTTTTGTCCTGCACTTCTTGTATTTGCAGCAATACCACATAACCCCGAAATGGTCGTAGTTATTTTTGTCAAGTGCCACGCTGTTTCTGATGTTCATCCGCGCACGCTGCGGCCTATCGTCGACGAGTTGACGGTGTCAGCAGCAGGAGGAGGACCGCCTGCTGTCGCGGAGGACCTCCTCCTTCAGCGTCAGGTCCCCGCCAGCGCCTCATCAGGCGGATCCGTGACCCGGCTCCCCGCCACGGGCACACGTGGCCGCGAGCCGCGCGGACCACCGAGCAGCCAGCTGCGGTGAGCTGCGTGCCACCCCTGCTCTCCACCGATCGGACTTTAGAGAAGCGCGACGCGCTCGCCGCCCACACTCTCAGCTTAGCACCGTTCCACTCTCTCCGGATGACGACCGCTCCCGCCCCCCCCCCCCCCCCCCCCCCCCGAGACCAGTCGCGCCGCCGCCGGCCGGTCGTCAATGCGCCTGTGCCGGCGGTCAACAGGTGCTGCAGCCGTGCACACATTTGCACAGCGCCGGCGAGGCACCGGCCTGCTCCCCGACACCAGGGGAACGTGCACCGGTGTGCATGTGCACGTTAATGCCGGGCTGTTGTTGGGCTGGATCAACACTGGGGGCGGCGGCCGGAGCCGCGCAGTCATGGGAATGACATCACTAGTCCCCACCCCACCGCCTGGGGGGGCGGGCGGAGCACTGTCTGCCGGCTGCCAGCAGTGACGGACATACTGGCTGCCTGTCTGTCCGTCTGTCTGTCGCTGAGTTGTCCCACTGTCTTGCTAGTCTGATT